CTCCAGCAACATAGTTGTGGGATGCACCGGTATCCGCAAGCATGAACATGTCATGGGACCGGATGCGCAGGAAGCAGGAAGAACCGAAGTCATATGAGGAGGAGCGCAGAAATTGAAGGATCGGGCAAAACAAGGGTTTACAGCAGAGTTCATCGAGATCTGTAGTAGAGAGGTTCTATGACAGGTTTCGCCCAAATCGGTACGAGCGGGATCTTACAGCAAAACCCACTGGAATCTGTAGTATCATGATCGTACGACAGATCTCACAGGAACCGGTGAGAGGACACCGATTTCACAGATCTCACAACAAGACAGACGCTGAAGACATTGGACGAGGTCACGGTACCTAGAGGGGAGCTTCTCGCAGAAGCGGTCGACCCACTCCGAGTCCGTGAAACTGTCCAGTGGAGCGAGTAGGGCGAGCTTACAGAAGTTCTTGATGTAGCTGTCCATATCCTTGAATGCGAGTGGCTTGATCCTGCATCTTGCTGTGAAAGCTGGGTTCCGTTCCTCGTGAGCCTCCAGGAAGGCTTGTTGATAAGCCGTCCAAGGGAAGGAGGAATGTTTCTTCCTGAAGGCATGCCACCATCCAAGTGGGGAGCCCTCGAGACAGCTAGAAATGGCAATCGGCCACCTACTCTTGCTGACTCTGCCGTCGACCAGTACCTCAACGAAGCCTTGAAGCCATTCGCCAGCGGTCTCCTCGGTGGAATCATTGTAGGGACGAAGGGGGGATGCGAGTGTCCTTGGAAGCATTGAAGATCTCGTGGTCGTTGGTGGCATCATTGAGGTCCTCAGACCAGTCAATCTTGCCTTCGGTCACTTGGGCTAGACCGACGTCTTCGCCATCCTGTGCGTCGGTGGCGAAAACCTCTTGCTTGGTCGGCGAGGGCATCACTTCGTCAGAGGGAAGCTGACCCTCGGCAAGTGGCTGAGGGGTGGCATACTCTTGAACGATCTTGTGCATGCGTCGCTCATTCTGCTGAGAGAGCTGAGTGATCTTGTCGTTGATGGCCTGAGTGAACTGGGTAGGGAAGGCTCCCAGCTTACCGTTGATCTTGTCAATTGACAACTTCGTCTCATTGCCTAGGAATTTGATGTTATCAGAGAGGCCGTCAAGGCTGTTCTGCGTCACAGTCTTGACCTTCGCAAACTCTACGTCGTTTGCGGCCTTGAACAGATAGAACTGCAGATTGAGCTTGGACAGTTCGGCGATCTGGTTCTTGAGTGCTGTAAGGGTAACATCCAGAGCACTAAACTTACCAAGGACTGTCTCCTTGGTGATCTTCTCTTCTTCGTAGGAGACGAAGAATGATCGCATTTCGGCCGACAACTGGGAGGTGTGGGCTGCGAGGCTCTTGAGCATCGGCGGTGGCGCCGGGAGCTGAAGAGGGGCTGACATGTCGTAAGGTAGGGGTGGAGAAGATGAGAGGGTAAGCGAAAAGAGATAACTACACACCGGGGGTAGCAACCACTTTATTGATAAAGTGTTTCCTAGGGCCTTCAAGTACGTTAGAAGGGAAGCTTAGAATTAAGATGTGAAGGGGGGGTGCAAATCCCCTCTATATATACCTTACATGTCTGACTGTGTTCTAACTGTGTTCTGCTGAGCGCCCGAGGGGCGCTCCTAAATACAAAGGGGAGCGATAGTGATCAAAGGGAGGCGATGGTGATCAAAGGGTGATAACGAACAAAAGGTAGTGAGGATTCGTGCGAGAGAATCAAAGGGTCCGTAGGGGCTTCCGACACGTGCTCAGACAGGCCGTCTGGAACATATATCCAAAATTAATTACGTTCCATTACTCTTTGCTTTGTTGGTGTCTGATCTTCCGACTCAGCTTGAAATCATCGTTGGGGTGAATGTCATGGCGACCGACCGTCTGGTTTTCACTGTGTATAGGGAATTGATGCGTGTCAATCAAGGCCGCAGCAGTATGGCATATGTCTCGCAAGTCGCACCAGTCTCACATAGGAGGCTTGGACAGATGATGGTGGAAGAACAAGGCAAAGTGGCGGCAGAGTGGAAGGAACATCGGAAATGCGCCTTCGGCTCATGTTTAGGAAAGGTGAGGTGACACAGTCAGGCACACAGACAATGGTGGTCAAAGAGTACAGATTTGCAGAGATGTGGGTTACATTCCAAGTCGCTGCGAAGTATAGATTACAAAGCTATGTTCTCCTCCCCAGTTGTGTCGAGGCTGGGCTTTACAGACCATCATCCCAAACTCCTCTAATCGATCTATTTTCCGCAAACTGTGCCCTCAACACCGCTAACCTTGACCTATAATCATCATGATTCACATATGCTCCACACAATCTCCTATTCCCAACAAATGCTGATCTACCATGCAGTACTCTATGATTGTCAAAGATCAACGCCATCCCTGGTTTCAACCGCACCCAATACTCTCCTTCTGGGTTGGTCAAGATTTCGTTCCATTTACGTAAAGCGTCGTAAAAAGGTTCTACTTCATCAGCTTCAACGCGGAGGACTGAGCGATCATCGTTGTTGTACCGCACCGAAACCAGTTCTCCGGTTGCTTCATCGTGTTGGAGGATGGGATAGCCTCCGTCGAGGAGGGGACGGATCATTGTGTTTTCGTCACCGGCGGAATGGGTTCGGATGCGAACGCGGGAGAGGGTTTCGTAGGCTTCTGGATGGACGTCTTTTAGGACTGCGGCGGCGAGGAAGCCGTCCACTAGGAGGGATTCGCCTCCGCTTGGGCCTTTTGAAGCTGTACTGGAAGAAGTAGATGAGAAGGAAGAAGATGGATTGTTGGAGGAAGAGGAGGAGTTGGAGCTGCTACCTTTGGCAGATGCTGTTTTGCTAGCCGTGTGACTTAGAAGATGGAACATCTGTAGACCAGCGGGATCGGTAAAGTAGGTCGTGTCTGTGTGAGCTTGAAGTGCGAGATCTGTGTATGCTGTATCTCCGTGTGCAAGGTCAGAGGTGAAGTCCCAGAACGCGCCGTAGTGCGTTTCTCGAATGAAAGCGATGCGTCGAATGAGCGCTTCTGTGTCGGTCGGTGTTGGTGGAACGCCAGATACGAATGCAAAGCCGTACTGTGCGATCTTTGTGACCCATTTCAATACACCTTCTTCACTCTGCATGACTTGGTCAAATTTGACTGTAGGTGGTGCTGAGCCGATGCCTTTGCCCCAAAGCACCTTTTCGATCGCTTTGAAACCTGTATCATCGTTCGAAGCAGTGACGGGATCGGAAAGGACCGGAGAGTAGGAGTTGCGCATAAGCCATCGCCATGGGTACAAAGAGGGGTGTGATGGTCCAGGTGATGGTGCGGCTGCGTTTGCATTGGCTGCGTCTGGCGAGGCCTCGACAGGCGGAGATGGAGTCGACCCTGTATCGCTGCGTTCAGATGGCAGCAAAGGCCAGTGAACTAGCAATCCTTCCGTCGTCGCCTCTACTGATACAGGCTGAGTATCAGGTGCGATTTCGAACGTGTTTAGCAGGCGCTGCTTTGTCGTTGGGTGGTAGCATTGCGGACAACGACAGTGGTCACGAAGCCAGATGTTGTGGAACTTGCTTGTGATGCCACTTGCCCAAGTGATGTATGTGGATCGTGATTTGGCATCCGTCGTTACTCCAGGTGTAGCAGGTCCACCGTCATAGTAGCTGCTCGATGTTGATGAGGTTGTGGTGGTAGATGTGGCAGCCTCGGCTTTTATCGATGTGGAAGATTGGACGCTGAGTTTTGAGCGTGTGTGGAATGAGGCGTGGGAATGAGGCGTGGGCTGGGCAGTAGTCACACGCTTGGCTAAAGCCACAGGGCGCGGTAATGATGTGACGACCGAGAGAGACCGACTTGAGCCAAATTGCTTCGGAAGAGCCGGGCGGGAAGCCAAGCCCAGGCTCGGGAGCTGCCAATACATTCGTGATAGACTGTGACAAGCCAAACGAGTCGGCTGTGCAGTGTTCAAAGGGGTCGTAGAGACAGTGAAAACGAATGTTGTGGTGCTGAGCAAAGTGTTGCAATGAAGACGACGTGTCAACATGGAATCGGCTCTCAGAAAGTAGAAGGCCGGACTCGCTCTGCCCTCAGCAACGTCACACAGCCCAGCTGAATCCAGGAATGCATCTCCGCATCTCCACTGCGTTGAGCTCGATCTGGATAATTGTGTTGGAAATTGAGGCTCAGAAAAGGCACACGAAATTGCGAGATCCTTTTCTGCATCGACTTCAAGTGTCCCTCGACGGCGCCATCAGCGACTCAAACCGCCTCATCGACACAAGGCATGACTTGGTCCCAAGCTTGAGACGCGGGCGAGAAGATGTCTTTCATTCAAATTGCTGTAGGTTGGCTAATAGCACCTTTCGTTGTTCTGTAAAGGATGTCGAAGAAATCGGGCAGAGCATTCGTTAGCGTCAGTTCGACATGTCACTGTTCCGAATGCCATTATCGACCCTGATGAACTCACTCTGTACATCTTTGAGCGCCGAATTTGCGTCCAGGTTGGGAAAGAGTGCCTTCTGACCGTGAGCATGCGAGATCAAAAGCGCTTTGAGCGAGGTAGGGATCGCGTTGTAGACCTTCTGTGGAAGCAGTAGGTAGAATCGGCAGGCGTAAGGGTCAGTCATTTCAGACTTGATATCTGCTGGTACTTTGCTTATGCAACTAACTCACGGCATCTGGCTTGAGCGACCTGAGCTCGGCCTCGAGCACGTTTAGTGTCTGGAGCTGTTCACAAAAGGAGCATGAAAGCACGTGTGAGCGATATTCCTGCATCCAAAGGGCTTCAATACTGGCATGGCAACGTACCTGATGCTGCAGCTCTTCCTTCCTGCTATCGTTTCTGCTCATAGCATCTTCAGCTGCCCGTCGATAGCTGTAGTGAAGCAAGTTGCCTGTAAAGGTGAACCAAGCTCTTCTTTGCTCCACCTTACCTCGGCTTCCGGAAGCCAAGTCTCTCAAAAGTGATCCGCGGAGAATTATTTCTCTCACCTCTTGAGACACGCTCTCTCCACCATCTTACCCAGCTGAGGTCGTGTGATGTAGTGGTAAAAGCCTTCCAGATTTTGACACCCCCTTCAGCACTCTTCAGCATATCCAAGGGACTCATTCAAAGGTTCTGGCTACCTGGGTTCGAATCCCAGCATGACCCGGCTTTTTACCATTTCATTCCCACCGCCATCGAAGACAATGTATAAGCCCAAGAATGGGATGTGACTTGTGAGAGAGAGGCGAGAAGAAGTGATGTCGTAGAGAAACTTGAACCGCCTTTCGGCATCACGTGATCAGTTATGAAGGCGTCTGCGTCTGGGCTGGACTCAGCAATCGAAAATAGTCCTCTTTGTGAAGAGCGGAGCCGAGACGCTACCATCATCTCCACCAAAAGCCAGGCGTACGATTAGTTTGTTCGTGTTAGGTTTATGCTTTCTCTGTTTTATTTCGTGTGATTGAGTCCAGACGGGATGCCTCTTTTCTAGTTGAAGCATGTGGTACCTCGGCGATTGAAGCATACAAATGCAGTCTTCGCCGAGGCCACATCCAATCACCAACTTCGCTCGCTCGGGCTTAGTGCATTGCCCGGGCCGATTGCCGAGCATCAAGACACCGGTCAATTGATAGCCGGTGTCCTTCCTCCCTAAGTTTCACGATCATGCTTCAGATTCACTGCCCGAGCATCATACACGCATGCGAGAGGTAGCATGACTTATATAAAGCACTCGAATCATCCTGTACTTAGTATGTCATATCATCGCAATCGACACTTGTGATCACCGACTTTGACGCACATTTGATTGATCTCGACGACGCTCTTTAACTTTTCTGCTGGGTCTGCTGCTGCAGAACACGTGCGCGTCCACATCATATTGCACGCCGAACAGCCCGCTCCACATAGCCAACTTTATGTAACCAAACGGGCCATGTGTAATTAGGCGTGACGAGTGCGTTTGGCCTCTGGCTTGGCTTGGTGCCGGCCGACGGAAAGGTCATATGAGCCGGGGGAAGTCTTGGATGCTGTCCCGAGCGTGTGACAGCTTGCAGAGCTCAGGTTGTGTCTATGTGAGAAGTAAGAAATAAGAAGTGTGTCGGCTGAACAACGTCAGGGTCCAAGATGCAGGAGCTGTGAAGAGTAAGCAGCAGCAAAATTGGATGTGGATTTCCTCGTAGCACGGCACGGTCCTAAGTTGCTCGCGACTCTCCGATTTCCGTCCTGTTGCTGATGTTTCTTGCTTATTCTTGATCTTCTCAACTCGTATCTTCTTCTGCTCCATCAACCTATCTTCTCCATCCCTCTCCAATTCTCCATCTTTTCACTCCTTACCGTTGGCCGTGCTCCTGTTTATCACTCTAGCTGCATTCTATCAGCTTATACCTATCTATTGTCAAGCAAAAGACCGCTTCTGACATCGGCTATCCACTTAAACAGTCTCATCACTCCAGAATCAACCCTAGGAACAACGAGGAGCATCACCTCATCGACACAGTGACGCAACCGACTCCGACATGACCACCTCCAGTACTCGATAGTTTCGTATTTCCGAGTAACTCCTCAGCCTCGACGTCTTTGACTGGCCAACCCATCGCTGCTCCACCAAATCTGACAGGACGACAATCACTGGAACCACATTCTCAAAATGGCGACCACCATTCACCAACCAATAGAGGCAACTGCAACGTCTGGCTTTGCAAGTTCGTGGAGGGTACTCTGGGCCTTCCTAATCGGCCTGCTGGCGACGGCCATCTTCTTTCGCTCCGTCTTACCGCGTCTTCCACGCGTCCTCTTCCGCGGCAAACTACGTATCAGGAGAGCAGGCATTCGCGGTATCCGTAGCATCGAGTATCGCTCCAAGGGCTTCCACAATGACTCGGCCGCCTTCTCAAGGAATGAAAATCAGCTCGAAGTCAAGATTCAGCGAGTCTACGCCTCCTATCACCTTCCGTATTTCCTCTGCAAGGAGAAAGATCAGCCATGCGTAGTACCTCGGAAAAGTGGTGCCATCATCACCATTCACGTCCAAGGCGTAGGTGTTCGTCTTCCTAGATCTCAACAGGATAGCGACAAGTCCCAGGGAGCGGCCTCAACCTGCACCGCCAATCAAGATACCTCTTCCAACAACTTGACATTGGAGCAACAGGAGGAGCTTAGGCTGCAAGAACTGATGAGCAGCCCTCCCATGTCCCCCAGCGCGGAGAACAGGCTCCTCTTTCCCAACGCACTGGGCTCACAACCATTACCGTTCGTCGCATCTCCTAGACCGATCGAGCGCATCCAACGAGCCCAGTCCGACTTGCAACAACATCATGACAAGTCGGGAATCTATCGCACCTGCCACCAAGCTGGCGTCACGTCTCTCTACTCGGCACTCAGTCTCGCAAAATGGATTCGTGGCTCTGCCATTCCAGCACTGCAAGCCTTTCTCCTTCGAGCCTTCCGAGCTGCCCTCTTCATCCTCACATCTAGTTTGCCCGTTCTCACATCACTTGTGTCGGTCGAGATCGATCGAATCGAAATCTACGTCCAAGAAGCAGAAGCAGTCGCTCGTATCGGAAGAGCCGGTGTCACCTTCGCCATGTCGCCTGACGCGCTTCCTTCTCACGAGCGTGTTGCTAAAACACGGCAGAAAGGCCAAGATGAGGACCAAGCCTCCAATTACTTCCGAGCGCCAACATGGAGTCAGTTCTTCGATGCGATGCGCATGATGCCAACCAGGATGGGCTTCGGTGCCCGTGGTGCAGCAAGCTACCTGGTTGCTGGCATGTCTCCCAGTAACGTCACAGCACATCTTCGCGTTGACAGTATCGACGTGTTTGAGGCAACCTTCAAGCCAGACGCCAAGCTGAAACGCGCCTTCGAACACGGATCGCGGCAAAGCAGCGTCGCGCCTTCTTCACGACCAGCGACGCCGCTTTCATCGCATCCGCGTGCAGATCGAGATATTCTATCTCCTACTCAGTCAGAAGTCGACCTGGACGCGGCTCACCATCAATCCTCCACCTTTGACGAGAGCTTCGAGTGGTCGTCTCGCCCAACACGCCCAAAGCGTCAACGAAGCAACAGTGCATCTCGCCTCTCCAAGATGTCTGTGGGCTCATTGCGTGGCTTTGCCGACCGCTGGGCCGACTGGGCTCTCGAGCCATTGGTCGAGTCCGACTTTCGCGCTGATTCCGGCTGGACACGCCGTTACCTAGACGACGGCTATTGGCCACAACAGTTGCAGACCATCCCAGCAAGCGCAAGAATTGTTTCGGTCAGCGGCGTCACTGAGCTGACAGCGAGTCTGCTCATTGGGTCCAGCTTCGCTCTCGGAGGTGATAGTACCTTGGCCACCAAGCTGGTTCTCGGAAGCACCACGCTTGGACTCGATGCGGCGCATCGCATCATGTGTATCGTGGAGGAGCGCAAAGCGAGGAGAAGCGGATGGGCGCCGACGCAGCGTGGAAGCACTGAGAACCAGCGCTCCGTTCTGTCAAAGCATCTCACTCAGCAAAAGCCCTCTGCCTCAGCTGATGCGCTCCGGATGGTATCTTCGCTTTCTCTCTCATTGCCTTCCGTACGCGTGAGGACCACCTCGGACGCCGTCTTGTCGGCTGCGTCCTCCTGCAACACAGAGGCAGAAGAGGCCGAGACTGCTGGTCCGACCCAAGCACCACTTCCATCGAGAGAGTTGGTCGTCGCCCTGTCCGGCTTTCACTTCGAGCTCCAGCACAGCGATCCCAAGGATGATCTCCATCGTCGTTGGCTTGGCACGTGCGGCCTTTCAAAGAAAAGTATCAAGAGCAATCGCAAGAGAGATGAAAGTAATCGCAAACCACGTCCTCGCTCATGGCACAGTGACAAAGCTGTGGAGCATCGCCGCACTTTCCTTGCCGAGTCGAGCTTCGCCAGCTTCGATGTCCGTTGCCGCTCCCCCAATGCGAACAAAGGCTCCCGTCTACTCTTCGTCGGCGACTTTTCGGTTGTTGCCCGGTCTTCTTGGACACCCTTCGGCCTTTTCCCGAACTGCCCTGACATGACGCGTCTCCTCCTGGCTGGCGACCCCAACGAGCATGCTGCTTTCCTTGAGGCTTGCATCGGTGGTGTTGAGACAGACGTCTCGATGCAAGACCTCTCTGCATTGCTACCAATAACGAGCGAGTTCAGCCGTAGAAGAAGGAAGAGACAGAATGTTTGCATTGACGAGCCACCGCGACCCAAGACGAACCTCGAGCGTCTCCGCCGTCTGCCAAGGATTTCGGCTGGTTTCCACATCCAGCGAATCTCTCTCCTTTTGGATGCTAGCCGTGATAGAAGCGACGACGTCACCAACAGCAAGCAGCAAGGCAACCCTAGCAGCACGACCGGCCCGAGCCCCAGAAAGTTGACACTGTCCGTACCGAATGTCGACTTTGTCTTCTTCGGCGAGTATCGGGACGAGTACGTGAAGCGTCCTTTAGCTGAAAAGAGAGCCGCCTACAAGGCGCTGAGGGACGACAACCTCGAGTGGCCCATCAGCGGCAAAGATCTTTGCTGTGGTGCAGCACGACAAATGAATACGCTGGATCAGATTCATGCTCAACAATTCTCTACGGACAGTGCTATCGGTCCAGGTGAAGTTGACTCTGCGAATCAGTCACGCAGGTCGGCAGCATCCCCGCAACGATACACTGAATCTCGTCTAAGCATCGAGGAGACGATCAAACGCGCGCAAGAACTCGAGCAGACGCATGACGCCGATGTCGAGAGGCCCGCTATCACCGCAAAACGTCCATCCATCCGCGAAACAATGTCCAAAACGGGAAAGGTGCGACTGCCCGGCTACACACGCAAATCTTCGATGTCAGCCGAGACTCGCTTTAGCATTCGCTATCAGTTCGAGACCCACTTCCGCGTCGATGCAGTCGAGTCTTTCCTTTCCCTCAGCTCTGGCCCGAAAGACTCGACCAGGTGCTTCCTCCGAAGTTCAACAACCGAGAGCAATCCGAGCGTTGGTTACTCACAGCACCATTTGCTTGCGATGCACAGCTTCGAAGTGAATGGGTCAGGTCGTATCCCCGGCAACGTCGAGCCTCCAGGTTCCGCGCTGTGCGACGACGTGCCACGCCTTTCTGCGTCGGACACTGTTGCCGAGTTCAGAGCCAGCATCGAAGACATCGACATCGAAGCATGGCAACCTT